GTCATCGTTCCCATCGGCTTGGTAATCTATGGCGTCGCCGCCCATAACCGCACGCACTTCATCGTTCCCAACATCGGCGCCGCCATCTTCGCTGCGGGTCTGATTCTCTCCTTTCCAGTGCGTGCAGACATACACCATTGACACCTACGAACGATATGCAGCAAGCGCAACAGGAGCTGCAGCCTTTGTGCGAACGATGGCGGGCTTCAGCTTCCCTCTCTTCGCACCCAAGCTGTATGATGCTCTCGGTGTTGCGGCTGGTAACGGTGTTCTGGCCGACGTTGCAGCCTTGTTGGGAATTGTGGTGCCAACCATCATGTGGAAGTACGGCGCTTGGCTGAGGAGCAAGAGCCAGTACTGTTCAGGCTAAGAGCGCTGTTTGGCAATGGTTCATGTTCACAACTATTTCTTGATGTTAGAAGCTTTACGACTGACGATATATGATTGGGAGGATCACTATAGACGAGAGCGTTGATAGAAGCTCTCAGAGCGAATCTGCTGCGGTGTCAAATTCTAGAGTACATTGTAATTCAGTCAGACATGATCGCAACTTACGGAATTTCTTTGCACACGGCCTGCCTGCTTTGGGTCCGGCATTGGCGGAGTGGGGCCGTTGTCTTGGCCGAGTCTTGTCCCCGGATCCGACCGCGCTCCTACGTTTCCAACTACGGTTCACCACTAGAGAGCAGTGTAGAAGACATGAAAATCAAAGGCTTTATTGATAGCTTTATTGATACTAAGCTATAATGATTCGGTTCCCATGGCGACTCGTCAAGCTGGTTGAGACTCTTGTTCGCAGTGGCTGAGCATCGCTTGCAATCTAGTGAATGCTCTTCTACCAATGAAAGCGAAGAGACATAGATTAACATGATGAAGCACTATGAAACTCAAACGATTTAATAGTCTTTTCGTGTTCAATGGTAACAACGATCACATATCATATGTAATTCTGCACAACACGACATGACTCGTCGTGAAGACACCGTTTAGGCGATGATTTGCTCTTGAATACAGAACGTAGATACTCGGAATGATACTTCCGTGGACCACTAAATCCCACGACTTGTTTCCTGCTTTCATCAGTAACACGTGGGTTAATGTTGCTTGGCCGGCACTCGGCCGGCCCTTGGCTTCTTGGCAAGTACCCCAGACGGCATGTCTAGCCCCGCGTCCAACGTCTGATATTTGTCTAACAGCTGCCAATACGACCAGGATCCTGGTTCCACAACAACTTGGACATTGGCATTGCCAACTTGCCAAGTACGTCAGTCTCCAGGACCAAAGTTACAAGCGAGATCATTGGCGCGCCTGAGGCAAAGGATCTTGAAACCTCATACTTGACTGACATTGTGAGTACTGCTCCCGCGAAGGGGGGTGGTAATCAATATAAGCAAAACCCAAGCATCTTTATTTCCGGTGCGTGATAGACTATTTGAACAGAAAAACGCTGATCTCCTTGCCCGCCAAGGGCAAGCATCAATTTGGCTTTCTCCACCAATAATACTCCGAGGGTCGACTCCATAGACGCGGTCTTGGTTTGGAAGGGTGAGGGAAACCGTATGGTCTTTCACGTGTCTTAGTATTGGATTGATGTCTATATTAGTAGCTTCCTCTCCCAAATCTTGCTCTTCAATATCTCACCACAACGCCAGTCTTCGTCAATTTCTCGCACGTTTGAACTTGGAACTCCACGAAAATCTCTTACGATGAAGGTATCATCTGTTTATTTAAGCCTTCTCTCTTCGCTTGCAGCTATTCCAAGCGTCTATGCCTGTAACGGCTACGAAGGAGGCCTCCCCTCCCACACCGACCACCACTCCAATTCGCAGGTCATCGAGGTCCCGGCTGGTGAGGTCTATGACGGGAAGTGGGCTAAATATGACCGGGGATCTGGTGCCTGCAATGAACAGAATGAGGGAGACTGGCGTGATGCCGTCTTCTACCTTCGCCGTGGCGCTACTTTGAAGAACGTCATCATAGGCAAGGACCAAGCTGAGGGTGTCCACTGTGACGGTCCTTGCACCCTTGAGTTTGTCTGGTTTGAAGATGTTTGCGAAGATGGTATCTCGGTAGTAAGTGCGACCAGGAAGAAAATCTATGGCCCATTGACTGACGTAATGTGCAGAAGAATGACAGACCTGGCGACGAGACCTGGATCATTGGCGGCGGTGCCTTTAAGGCTCAGGATAAGATCGTACAACATAATGGTTGCGGGACTGTCAACGCAAGTTTCACCCCAAAAACATAATGGCGATACGATGCTGACTCGACTCACAGATTATCAATTTCTACGCCGAAGACTATGGGAAGGTCTATCGCTCGTGCGGGAACTGTAGCAGTCAGTGCAAACGCAATGTGTACGTCGAAGGTGTGACAGCGCACAATGGTGGCGAGATTGTTGGCATCAACGAGGCATTCGGTGACACTGCCACGTTGAGGAATGTCTGCACAGATGCGAAAGAGGCCTGCTGGATCTATGATGGTTGTGCAGGTGGCTGCTCCCCTCAGAAAGTTCGTCCTTGCTCTGGCTGAGCAGCTAACGACTGCGCGCGATTTGCATGCAGTAGATCATGGGTAATGTGGCAACCAAAGTCCAGGCAGGCATGGTTGTTTCTATGCTACTCGGCGTCAAGTGGCATCATGTGGTTTCATGTACCCAACGTACAATTTTCGAAGCTTATAAGTGGAAAGATCTGGTCGCTGAGACCTGCATAAGTTTCACTGCTCATCCAAACATGTTATGGCGAAGTCAGGAAATACTCACGACATCGTCCTGAGGCCCAGGGTGCGAAGCGGTGCTTCCTCGGTCCCGAGAGTGTGGGAACCCTTCGTTAGCACCAGCAGACCTGAAATGATTTTGCGAATTGCCAGGGTCATCGCCAGGATCGTCCATGGACGCTAGAACTCGACCAGCATACAGGATGGGCTGGGAGCGGGTAGGTGGAGTCTAGACCCTTCAATGCGCAAGCCTCTTCGCACTTGTTCCGCGTGGCCCATCCAGCCCTGACTGCTGCAACTGAAGCTACGTGCCTGATAGCCGGGTAGCCCGACCACTAGGTCGTTGTTTCCGGTCAATCAGGCTCATGGAAGCTGGGAATAGCGGACAAATAGAGATCTTATCTTATCAGATGTGCCGGCTGATGGGGCCACGGGTGGACGCCATCGATCCTTCGCGTGCCTAAGTGCAGGTTATGGCATGCTATTCATATGCCTATTACTTAAACATGCCGTGTTATCCGAAAAGAACACCTGATGGGGACATCTGCTAGTCGTGAAAATCTAATCTGATCGGGTATTGCACCAATGGGTCGTCAGCCGAAGAAATGTGCAGCACCCCCTTAGCAAGAAAATGGAGGAGACCCAAGAAGAGAGAGTACAGAGATTTGTTTTAAGCCTCTGCCACGGCAGCATTCATGCGACAACCACAGCCCGCTTCCAAAGTAAGCCTTCGCCCACGATCTCAGCTATGCCTACCCTGCCCAAGATTCGCCTAGGCCTCGGGCGGCAGCAAGTCGACGATACCATCGTACCTGCCGCTGCCGAAAGAGCGACGGACGACGCCAAATTGGGTACCGAAAACGTGGCAAATGAAACAGGTGCACAGGGAGACGAGAAACCAGTGCTTCCCAGCGAGAATGTGCAACATGGTGTGCAAAGCGTACAGGCCGTCACACTCACCTGGTCGAAGCGATCACTGGTAGCCGTTTTCGTCAAGTATGTACTATAGCCCTGATGCCAGAGCTCAATTGATTGCTGACGTTGCCTTTGTGTAACAGCATATGGTGTCTTGTATCTGGTCAACGCTTTTCAGTCTTCATTCTGTACAACTGATGCCGTCGTACGAGTGACTCGAGTCGCATTCGCTCCTGACGGTCATCAACATGTGGCAATGCAATGACAGCTGCGGTCTACATACCGCTCGCTCAAATGCTTGACGTCTGGGGTCGTGCTGAAGGCTTCCTCGTCATGACGAGCTTCGCCACGCTGGGACTGGTCCTCATGGCTACATGCAACAGTCTCTCGACCTTTTGCGCCGCCCAGGTAAGGCTCAATAAGAGAATCAACGAGAAAATGGGAACTGACTTTCGATTTTTAGGTTTTCTATTCTATTGGATTTGGAGGCATCATCTATAGTGTGGATGTTATTACGGCTGACGCCACGAGCCTAAAGAATCGAGGACTAGCGTTTGCGTTCACTTCTTCTCCCTACATGATAACTGCATTCGCCGGCCCGAAGGCTGCAGAAGGATTTTACGAGAACGTCAACTGGCGGTGGGGATTTGGATGCTTCTCAATTATCCTACCCTGTGTGGCGGCTCCTTTGTTCACAATCTTGAAGTTCAACCTTCGAAAAGCCGAGCAGCAAGGACGTATCCTCCGGGAAAAGAGCGGAAGAACAGTGGCGCAGAACATTTGGATGTTTGTGACGGAATTTGATGGTGAGAAAACCCTCAATTGGATACAGAAGAGATTGACTGACTTGGCCTGAATAGTTCCCGGAGTCATCTTATTCGCCGGCGGCCTCACTACATTCTTACTGCCCTTCACACTCGCCGACTCAGCGCCTGACGGTTGGTCGTCAGGTTATATCATCGCCATGATTGTCGTGGGCTTTATCGTCCTTGGGATCTTTGCGCTCTACGAAACATTCCTCGCCCCCACACCGTTCCTCAACGTTCACCTCATGACCGACAGAACAATCATTGGAGCTCTTGCCCTCTGCGCGACATACCAAGTCTCCTACTACTGCTGGAACAGCTACTTCACCTCGTTCCTCCAGGTTGTGAATAACCTGAGTGTTTCGGAAGCGGGATATGTTGCAAGTACTTTTGATGTCGTGTCCGGCATCCTTCTTTTGATCGTCGGTTTCTCCATCAGAAAGACGGGATACTTCAAGTGGCTTCTTTACTTCGCCATTCCACTCTACGTCTTTGCACAGGGGCTAATGATCCATTTCCGCCAACCCAACGGTTATATTGGATACGTTGTCATGTGCCAAATCTTCATTTCAGTTGGTGGAAGTATCTTCATCATCGTTCAACAGCTGTCGATTCTCGCCGCTGTTGACCACCAGCATGTCGCTGCAGCTCTGGCACTCCTCAGCGTTGTTGGTAATATTGGCGGTGCTGTTGGCAACTCTATCTCTGGCGCTATCTGGACCAACACTTTTGCCAAGGCCCTCGAGCGATATCTCCCGGCCACGGCTTTGCCGGATCTGGCCGAAATCTACGAAAGCCTCGAGACGCAGCTCAGCTACGAAGTCGGCTCCCCGGAGCGACTTGGTATCCAGCAGGCGTATGGATACGCACAAACCAGGATGCTTGCGACGGGCACTGGTATCATGGCACTGTCATTCATCTGGGTCCTTCTCATCCGCAACATCAACGTTGGAACCATTAGGCAGACTATGGGCAATGTCTTCTGATCAGCAGTCGAAAAGGCGATGAATCCTATTGTAGAACCTGGATTATATAACTCTGGACAGAAACCTTGGTCGTTTTGGTCAAGCAATGCCTTTACTCCAGACCCTCAAACTCTTTTGCACACCTCGCGAACTGTGTCCAGGTCATCAGCTCATCATCCAGAATAGCATGCGACTCGTCTAATTTTGCCCTGCCGTAATAGCCAAACTCAGCCAGGAGTCGCAGATTCTGTAACAACTCCTCTGCTGCAAAGGCTGGGAGGCCTTGGCTTGTTAAGACTCCCCTGTAGGCATCATGTGTCATCTCAACAAATGCGACATTCTCGCCTGCTTTGGGAAACAGGCTTTTGAATGTTTCGATGGCCTCAGCCGGCGTCATATAATTTGAGGCACCAAGGATTTGCTTGCCCAGAACTTGCTCTCGGTTCAGGATCATACCTTTGACGAATTTGCCTGTGTCGTTGACGTCGAAGAAGGGGATTTCGGCAGTCGAAGGTGCGGGAAGGAAGAATCTCCATCCGTCTTCAAGAGGTGTCTTTTTTATCAGATTGGTGGTCAAATTTGATGCGTAAAGTCCAGGCATGAAGAATGATGCGGGAATGTCGAGCGACCGGACGTAGCTCTCAACCTCTGCTTTGCTGTCGAAATGATAAACACAAGACAGGACACCGCCCGATACTGCAAAGCCATGTGAGTATTCCCGTGCGAAAGGTCCGATGGCAATATGCTTACGCTTGGTGATGTTGGGCAATGAGCTCCAAATGTAATGCTGAACTTGAGCTTCCTGGAGCGTGGTGATCAGCCAAGGTTACCCGAGGGCAAACGCAAGCGTTTCAAAAGGTAGTAAGGTACCTTTGCTGCATCGGCAATATTCTTCCCTTGCTGAACCTCAAGATTCTTGTCCAAGCTCTCCCAATAATTCGTGACCCCGTAAACAACTGTCGACCCTTGTACGGCTTTAAGAACAGAAACTCGGTCGTTCAGATTGGCCTTAAGGTAAGTTAGTCGACGGCATTCCGACATGCACTATTGAGGTGTTACCTCAACGACCTCAACGCCTTTGGCCGCAAGGTCCCGGGCCTTTTCGGAAGACGCGTTGCGAGTGACACCACGAATGAGCCACCCTTTCAGCTTGCGGTCCCCAAGGAAAGTTTTGATAACACTTCCTCCCTGGAGGCCAGTGGCCCCGAAAATAGTGATGACTTGCTGGTGCATGATAGGTGATGATTTCTGGCGCACTGAACTTGGTAGCGTGGGATGACAATCGAGCAGTGCGGGTAGAACGAGGAAAGATGACCCAAAATCTGAAGGGGATTGAGACTTGTAAGTGTCAGCTTTAGTCGCTTCCATCAGCTTCTTAAATGTATTTTTGCTACCAGATCGCGGTCCTGACGGCGCAGACATGAGTTATTGAATCGCGTGGTGTCAGTCTCTCGCGGTTCGGGGTCGGGATGACTTTCGCCCATTCACGGAGACAATTGACCGCCCCCCACCCACTGTGAGCCGTGCACAGCAATTGGAAATGGCAGCTTCTGCAGGCCTCAGAATTACACCGATTGACTCCAGTTTTTGGCTGGCTATCTTTCCGACTGGGTGCCTTCTTGTAACGCATTGACATCAAACGCGGTGTTTCAACCGGAGACTTTCCACTCTCAACAGAAGAAAGCTCTTCCAGAACGAATGCAGGTACTCAAAAGCCCACACCATAAACGGGGGGAGACGGGATCGAGAAGATCCTTGGGCGACGCTTAAAATGCCAATCGATATTATAGACGAAGACAAGAGAAATTGGACCACAAGATGATGTGGGACGCCGAAGTAAGACTCAAGCAGCCGTGATCTCATTAAGCAGTAGGCCAGTACTGTAAAGCTACCCAGGGAGCCGATCAAAGCACCTCTTGTCCGGCACAGGATCAAATGTCTAGCCCCTGTGCCCTTTTGGATCGAGTCCACTGCGCTATCCTCTAGGAAGGATCTCATCCCTGTCTCTAACCGCCGCCCAATTCAATACCCTCAAACTCCGTCCTCGGTTGACCATTTTCAAATGGAGAATCTCAAGCTGTTGGCAATCCAGTGCGCTTCAAGCTTTGCCCGCTCGAATGGGTGCGCGCATCACTTACTGCTCCTCCTCCTCCTCGGCCTCCTCCTCGAGCTCAAAGGCCTCAAGCTTCTCACCGCTCGCGGGGAAGGTGGAGGCGCGCTTCATCATCTTGGCGAGAGTGCGCTCCGTCTCGAGAATGGAACGGGCCAGGCGGCGGCGAGCCTCGGTGGCGTTGGCGGCACCGGCCATCTGGACGGGCACGACGCCGCCAAAGGGACCGGCGCGGGCGGCGTTCTGGCAGCGGACGAGGCAGACCTGATCTTGGCCGGCCACGGTGCCGGTGCAAGTCTGGTCGGCAGGGATGGCGGCGACCATGGGGAAGTCGGTCTGAGCGCCGCCACGGTTGCGGGAGTTCTGGCCGGGAGGGGTGGTAGTGACCTGGATGTTCTCCCAGGTGGCACCGGTGCCGTCGGCATTGATCATGCACTCGTAGGGGCCACCACCGTCACCGTTGACCTGGTGGAGAGTCATGTCGACGGAACCGCCTTGAGAGACCTGGGGAAGCTGGCCGCCCATCTCGGACATGATGGCCTTGGTGCCGGACTCGAGGCTGTTGGGTCCGGCGCCGACAGTCTCGCCAAAGGTCTGAGCGGACGCGCCACGGAAACGAGTGGAATCCTGCTGGAAGGGGTCGCGACGAGTTCCGTCACGAGGAGTGCTGGTGACGACACCGAGAGCCATACCCTGACCACCCTGATCACCAGTGGCGGCGATAATG